TGACCCCTCTGCTCCCCTCTGGAAGGGGGAGATATCCCTCCTGGGGCTCTCCTGGCAGGGCAGGAGGAACCTCTGGGGCTTTGTTCCAGACCTGGTTTTCTTGCCAGTGCAGGTTTTTTTAGGTTAATGGGTTGTGGTTTATTTTTTCTGTCCTGCTTCCAGCCCGAGAAGGCCCAAGAGGGATGAGCCCTGGCTGAGCAGAGGGAGGTACAGCTTTCCACGTGAGGTGCTTCATCTTCTGGGTCTTGAGGAACTGGGGATGTTTTCCTGAAAAAGCATCAGTCCTATTGTTTTTCAACCCAGCCATTAAAACTACCTTGAGGCAGAACACAACCACCTTGCCCAGTTCTGGGGAGACTCTTTTACAGGGTCTTGAGGTTTCTGATCCCTCAGCCCACTTGGGTGCAGACCTGTGAGAAAAGCAGTTTCCTGAAGCAGAATGATACTGGTTTCAACTTTTTTAAATTTTTGAAGATGTCAGACTGGCCCAAAGGTTCATTTTCTGCTTTTAAGCGCTTAGGAGACACCACCAGGTCTCAGTGTGAGCTGTTGGAAGAGCAGGAGAACAATGGGGACAGCTTGGCTGGGGTGGCTTGAGGTCAGTAAAGCTGGTGGTTTCTCTCACAGGAGCTGAAATGGGCTCAGGTGGGTGTGTGCACAACAGCAGCTGCCAGGGTGGAGGGGAGATCCCAGGGGACAGGTGGGGACCAGCTCATCTGCCAGCTGCACAACCAGAGACAGGAGGTTTTCAGGGGATCAGTTACCCTGTTGATGATGAGTGATAGTGGCTCCAGAAACACCCTGGAAAAAAATGTATTCCCTCTCCACTTCCAAATTCAGACTCTGTTCACTATCAACCTCCACTGGGACAGCACCTGCACCTCAAGGCCAGCAGGTCTGAACTTGTACAGGGCAGGCTGGACAGAACTGAAGTGTCTTGGGCAGCACTGCCAGGAGGTGGGGGCTCCTATCACAGGGTCCAGCCTCTTCACAGGAAGAGGAGGAAAGGAGCCTGATGACCCCACACCTGCTCCTCTAAGAGCTTCCCTTCCTCCCCCAAGAAGACAACCACACCATCCACATTGGTAAGTTTTTAATTGCACTGTGAGTGAAGAGCAAACAGATCAGGTCACAACAGAAGAAAACAAAAGTGGTGTCTCAGCTTTGAGTGGCAACAGAGAACAGAAAGTAGTGCTACAGACCAGCTTCCCTGCCTCCTCCTACCCCTTCACTACTCTAGTGGTTCACTTCAGCAAAGTGGAGGCACTGGCCAAATACTTGAGGGTAAAAAGAAAAAAAAAAGTGGGAGCTTCCATTAAATTGCCATCCATTCTTCTGGAAAGGGGAGACTACACAGCCAGCACCACCCCAGCAGTGGTTCTGTACCCACAGCACTGGCACACCAACACCCGACACCAATTGACAAAGGCTCTGGTTTCCCTTAAGCAGGTCAGCCTGGAGGGGTGGCCCTTAGGGTGACACTGTCAGAAGCTGGTCTAGCACTGCCCTGCAAAGCACAGCATAGGTTCCAGTTCCAGTGTGGGAGCAGTTGGGTTCAATCACAGACAAAACTAAGAGGGACATGGTCTGCAGGGGGTGTGACACAGTGCTTCACCACCTCCCTGGGCCCTACTTCCCTGAGAGCTGCTCGTAGAGCTTGGGCACGTAGTCATCCCACTCTGCCTGGTAGCAGGTGCCAGCCACTGGCACCCCCAGCTCGTACTTGCTGCGGAATGAAGCCACCTTGAACTTCCCTCGTTTGTCCCCAGAGCGATTGGAGAGGATGGGCTCGTTGCAGCTCAGCTGCTTGGGCTGCTCGTACACCAGCCACACGTAGCGGTGCAGCCCTGCGGGGAGGAGAGCAACACCAGCACCTGTCACTCGTCATTCCAGGGTTTGAGGTTTGCCCTGCAGTGGCCCTGGGAGCACAGGGAAACGTGCCTGTGCTCACCTGAGACGTGCTGGTGCCTGCTCGTTGTTCTCAGTGATAAGGAGGCTAAGGATGATTCAGCTAAAAGGAGCTTAGGACAGGGCACTAGATGTGATTGACTCTCACCTCCCAGGCAGCACCAACCTGGCACCACACACAGGGACAGGGGCAAACGTGTCCCTGCTGGCCGTGGCTACAGGCACCCCCTGCGTGGGCCACTTCTGCAGCACAGCACACTGAGTGCTCAGCCAGGCAGCACGGGTCAAACAGGCAGGTTTCTGCAGGCCTCCCCACCCTCCCCGTGGCACCACCTTTGATCAGCTGCACCCAGGTACAGACCTGTTCCCTTGGGAGGGCCGGACCCGACGTAATCTGACAGCACAGTCCCACTCCCCACATCGTTGCCTTTCATGTTGGTCACCAGGAAGTGGTGCCATTCCCTGAAAGGAGGCAAAAACCAATCAGACTCCATCACAGTCCCAGCTGAGACCCTTCATCACCACAAGCTGCTGCTTTTCCATAAGACCATCCTGGGGAAACTCTCTAACAGCTGCCATTCCAACTCCTACAGCAGGTACTGCCTCCTTCAGGATGCAGAGCCCATCAAAACCAACTCTGTCATCTTGCCCTGCAGCTTTCAGAAGCCCAGAGCCTGACCCAAAGACTGGGTACTCCACACACTTCCCAGCCTGCTGAGCTGGTTCCAGGTTAAAGACTCCACTACCAGCACAGACAGAGCTAACTTCAACTCACATCTGTGCCTAGTTAGAGCGAGCAGCAGACGCTGTGCTTCTCCCAGCCACAACAGACCTCCAAACACCCCTGGCAAAAGCAGCTGCTCCTTGCTCCTCTCCATGCTGTCCTTGTCTCGAGGAGAGATGCAAGGACACTGTTTCTCTCCGAGGCCACAGGCTCAGCGCTGCACCTCAGGCAGAGCACAACCCCGACCTCCTTCCTCTGCACAGACCGAGAGGGACGCCCCGTTCTCCGCAAGCACCACAGGGAGCTGCCCACCCACCTGAACTTGGGGTCCTTCCTGCTGGGAGCATCTGGGTCGGTGAGAACCAGGGTGTAGAGCTTCTGGGGGTCACAGCCATCCCACTCGATGCTGGTGGGGCGATGCTGAACCTGCACAGGTGACAGGGTTAGCACAGGTGACAGCGTTGGCACCCGCAGACGCCACAGGCCCGACCGCCATTTTTGCCGCCCCCCCCCCCCCCCGCCCCGAGCGCGGGGCCGGGCTCTGCTCACCTGAGTGGGCGTCAGCACCTTGCCCAGCTCGTCTATCTCCACGGAGCCGTACTTGACGCGCAGCGGGTGCGCCGGTTTCTGCTCCACGTCGGTGAGGCCGAGCGGGCCGCCCCACAGCGCCAGATCCACCGGCATGGCCGCCGCGCCGCGCTCTGCCCCCCGCGCCCTGCCCGCAGCGCCCGCCCCCCGCGCCCATTGGCGGAGCCGCCGCCACGCTCCGCTCCCATTGGACAGGGCGCAGCGCAGCTCCGCCTCCCATTGGTCGAGACGCGCCGCTCGCCTTTCCCCCCCGCTCCCGCTATTATGGCGCCCCCAGGCGGAGGAGCCGGGACTTGCCCTGGCGGCCGCACGAATTAACCTGCTTAACCACCCCGGTCCTGCCACTAACCAGGTTATTGTTCAGCTGCCAGGGCCGCCCCGGGAATCTCAGCACTCTTGTTTCCCGGACGCCTGAGCCCGGCGTGTGATGGCCGCTGGGGAGTTGGCCGTGCTGTGCCTTTCCCAAGCTGCGCGGTGCCCTGGAGGAACCCGAGACACCCAGATGCTCCACAGCCCTTGTTGTGAAGTGACGCAGAGAACTAATCTGTGCATTACTACACGTAACAAACCAGCCTGGAGCCGCAACGGGGGGCTCGCTGGGGCCACTTGGCATCAGTCAGCAGACACACGGGTTACCGGGACAGTTTCTCCCCCCACAGCAGCTGCTGAAACCCAGCACAGGCTGTGCCTTGTTACGCTCGCCCGGCAGAACCGGAGGGCGCAGAGATTGAAAACATCTGCACCTTCCTCCCTCTCGGACCTTCCTCCCCAGGACCCCTCCAGCCGTGGGGCAGCTCATCCTCCATCCTCCCCACCCGCCGCCTCCTCCCAGCCCCTCCGGCCTGCGCTCTGCTGTTCCCTCTCAGGCTTTGCTCAGAGCTGCTGCCCGGCTCGGTTTGGTTTCATCCACCCCCACATCAGTGGTTGGCACGAACCCCTCGCAGCCCTTCCCACCCCTGTGCCTCTCAGGGTGTCTCTGTGCGGCTGAACGACAGCAGATCCCCCAGCTTGGGGGGTGTGTGTGTTTTGCTTACAACCTTCACGCTCAAGTTTTAATTTTTTGCCTTCAGGAAACAATGTCTGAACCTTATGGATCATTCCAGGGGCAAGGAGTGTGCCTGAGGGACACACGGACACACAGACACACACAGACACACACACACACACAGACACACACACAGACACACACACACACAGACACACACACACAGACACAGACACACAGACACACACACACACAGACACACACAGACACACACACACACACACAGACACACAGACACACACACACACAGACACACACAGACACACACACACACAGACACACACACAGACACACACACACACACACACAGACACACACACAGACACAG